TGTTAGACTGATTTGACTAAGCAGATCCGTTCCAGTTAAAGTTCCATCCAAAGACCACTCCCCATTAGTTTCATAGAAATTTAAAGATATCTCCGTTTTCACTGGCCGAAGCTGGACTTTGTTTTGTAAATAACCCCATGGTGCTAATTGTATAGAACACGTCTGTCTATCAAATGGGAAGTATGATACGTCTTGGCTAAATTTGACGTCAATGAAGCCTCCAGGCTGCCAGGTGATTTTACCATTGTTTGCAATATTCACCAAAAAGTCAGAATCGCTGATTGCACTAAAACTGTTCGATGCTTTGATGTTATAAAGTTTTGGGAGCCATATATTATTTTGTCCGATGTTGATGTCATATAACTCATTGTAAGCGGCTGGATCCCAAACTAGGGACACGTCATTCCACTGAACGACTAACGATGCAAGGATATTCATTGTTCCCGAAACCTCATCAAAATCTTTGATAGAGATGAGATACATATTGATAGATACGGTCAGAGTATCGCTCTGGTCAGCAATTGGCCTGACTTCTTTGTTATACCCAGTAAATATGTATCTCAAGGAGACAATCACGAAAATATGACAGCCTCCCAAAACACACAACCATACACTACACGCATGCATCTGACACATAGGGGAGGCCATCCTTAAATGACCTTGGCTGTCGATATGACGTTAAACAATACTAAACCAAACCAAACCAAAGCTTGCCCCATTTACCGATTTTAATGCAAGGATCCATTGATATTTTGGAAGGGACCGTCATCCAAAGAAAACTATGACTGTTGAATTTTTGTCTTCAGTGATGAAATATTATATCTGCAATTTATTATAGAAATCTCACTCACAGTTGCCTGGACCATAACCTTCGGTCGAGTTCGAACTTGTGTAGTAAAAAAAGTACCTTGGCATCACAGATCTTCCTTGAGATCCATTGTGGTGAAAAAAATCCCACTGTTTGTAGAACCATGCTAATAAATAACGAACAGAAAACCGTGCATCACAAGCTCAGGGACCCCATAACTTAAATTGACAGTTAACCGTCTGTCGTCTCGTCGCATTGATGACCGATCCATGTAGATACACGAGTTTGATCACAATTACCTGGATACCTTAAAACATACATAACGTTATACCTATGTTTTAAGATGATGTTAAGAATGACCTTAACCTCCTTAAGATATGAAATAGCTTGTCTGGTAATAAAATGCATATTTATGTATGTATATCCTGTGTTTTTATTAAAAGCACAGAAAACCACAATCGGGCAATTAATCTCTTTTATGGTTAGAAAAATTATCATTATCCTCTTTCATTTAATTCTGACAGACTTCTATAATGAAATAAAATACCACATTTATATAGCGCCCTATATAATTTGTAAAATTACTCNGGGGGGGGGGGGGGGGGGGGGGGGGGGGGGGGGGGGGGGGGTGCAAACTGGGAATCGTGTTTAGGTTGACGTTGAAGTACAAATGTAATTGGCGAGATTATCAGTACTGGTATCAAATACCTTGTCACATCCTTCAATTTCACATTCAGGTTTTTTGGTTGCTGCGAATATTGTGTTTAATAAATGTCGACGTCGACTGCTGACGGTCAAACTCACACAATATCATTTCGAGAAAGGCAGGTTTATGAAGACTATAGGCAAGTCTTATTTTCACCATCATGATCTTTTTTTGTTTTTGAAATGAAAGTCGATATTACATTTTGCTAATAATTGTGACTTGTTGTTTCTTTTGTATTACCCTGGGTTTCCTGTAGAGACCTTTACATTTTTCTTTTTCAATTTGACCTTGATTAACATGACGGATGTCGTCTTTCCACTGTTTATATCTTGTATATCTTGCCCAGTTTATCGGTTTGAGTTGGAATTACGGCTTTGTTTACTTTTCGATATTCTCTTTTAAATATCGAAATAATTCAATATTCAGCTCAACCGCTGTCTGAATCATTGCTTTAGAAAAAAACAGTTGCTGCTCAACAAATTTTTCTGCATGTTGACAGATGTTGGGAAGATAGAACAGTAGGAAACACAACCTGACTGAAATGTATTAAATAGAGTTAGTACACAAATATTGGTGTGCAGTGTGTGGCTCTACTTTTTCTTACAAAAAAGTAATTATTAATGTGTACTTGCGCGTTCTCTTATCCTTATTAACAGGATCCAAATGTTATGAGATTCAATTCAAGTGTTGTGTGATAAGACCTCTTGAACAGCAAACGACGTAAACAGCATCGGATATTGCAAACAAAACATATACAGAACGTCAACCATGAGTGTAATAATAAAAAAGTGTACATTGACCGCTTTAATTATCGTATCAGTGTTAGATAGTATTATTACATTTCGTTATGTTTCAGCTTCAGGTAAGACCAATTTGAATTTCGAAAAGTTTGGCCTTTAACATTGAAAAGGACGAAACAGCTGTATGATACTGCTATTGCCAAATGTTTAAAAATGTGATCCCCTTTGGTTGTGTTACGTTCATCTTTAAAGATACAAGGTTGTAGGCTATACTGGTGGATTTCTTAGAACCCGAAGTCTGCCTTATAAAGGCGAAATCACAAATACCTGGATACCAATACCTTTCTAATACGACATGCATGGTTGACCTGTTACGCAAATAGAACCGAAACAAATGCTTTATAACCAGTATTTAACTTACCACAAAAAGTATAAGTACATAACAGTGTTTTTGTATGGCATGCATTTGATGTTTTTAACACTGTTGTCATATTTTCCCTGCGATTTAAGGATTTTCAATTTCAACAAATTTTATTGATGATCATGATCAATTGGATTGAACACCAGACTTAAAGCCTATATTGAGTTCTTTCCATATAATAATTCATTTTATTCAAATAATATCCGGTAGAAATGGAAATTAAGTTTTATACAATAAGATAAATTTTATCATATATTTTAACATTTTACTTATACTTTTTTGTTATTTTATTTAAAATTATGCAATGATATATAAGTTTAATACATGCTGCTATATACAAATGCAGCTGAGGGATAAGTGCCGAATCAACCCCCGAGTTTCTGACTGTAAAGTCCATGGGTTCTTTACCCTATAGTCTTCCACTCAGGATTTAAGGACATCTGTACCCATGACAAACGTGTAACTATACATTGGAGACGTGCTCTTTGTTGTGTTTTCCCGGCATGACTATACTTTAAATAATCAATGCTGAAAAGAAAACCGTACCTTGCAGGAAAAATCCAGACCAAAAAAAATCGAAAACAATATTCTCAGTGTATAAATTAAGCATCGCTAGACAAGGAATCAAACCATGAACCTTATTTGTATACTGTCGCCCTAACCAACCATAAAAAGGTACCTTTGCAGAAAGTGTGTCCAAAATGAAATTAAGGGGGAGATGGAGTAGGAAAAATTGCGTCTTGAGTAGGTATGAAAACAATTGAAAACAAACTGTCATCTTTAAGAATAGTTCTTGCAAATGAGAAAACATCACTTTACTATCTGTACACACTTTTCTAGTGAAGGGTGCGTGAAATGGCAGCCTCTGAAAGACATGCTCCGAAAGATTCTCGGGGAGATATTACCTTCCAAATTAGATCAACAAATACAAATGTGTTGAACGGTATTTATCAGAAACGAGAATGTCCTTATGTATTGGTAACCTTTAATTTGGTCGACATTAATAGTTTTGGATAATTTGGTGGACAAATAGCAGGTTATCGTTAATCGAATAGGGGTCTAAGTATGCATCATTTATAGCCAAGCAATATGTTTTGTCTGTTTTTTTGTGAAGATTGATAATTTTTTACAAAGGCTATTAAACAAAGAATTTGCCTGATGCCTGCAACTTTAATCCTACTTGACATCAAAGATATGACAAATATTTTATTTGTCAGCTTCCTATCTTAGCATTTAAGTAAGGCAATAATGGTCTCCTTACTGTTAGTTACTGAACAAATGTCACATGGTTACCTACTCAAAAACCCGTAATTTTCTGGATACAAGGATATGCAAACTAAGAAAACTAGTTTCCCTGGGGTTTCTGCACAAAAGAAACCCGAAGAACAACTAGATATGCAGCATTGAGTTTAGACAAGCATAAATTAAAAAAAAAAGTTAATCGGCCGCTTAGTGAAGTGAGGGATGGTTTTAGAAAGAGGCTTAATCCAGGATGAGGCAGAAACTAATCGGGTAGTTGAAACGAAAGACACAAGAAAATTTGAGATTTAAACAGAACCCTTGCATTCTGTCTTCAGTCCAGAGAATAACGTCTTTGAAAGACTTACGTTGTTCCAAGAAGAGGGGAGAAATGTAAGAAAACAGTGAATTCTAGGACCAATATAACCTTTAGTTGAGAATGAGCCAAAGCTTTGGACAATACAAGTACATAAATGCTAGAGCAGGGTTCGTGTCTGGAAGTAAAGATGCACCCTACAAGGTATACATAAGATGTCCTATATCAATAAAGAGGCCAACAAAGTAATAGTAAAAAATACCTTCCCATTTATAATGCCTTGAAATCTCATTCTATATAAGATATATCATATAGTAACGAGATTTCAATTATATAACATATCCTATATAGTACATTGCTCCTGGAATACATGTTAAGTAGGCTTCCCATATAACCTGGCAGTTAATTGCGTTAACGCGCGATGTACATAATAGACAGTTGAGAGTAGATATTATTATGGTATTGAATGTTAGTAAACTAATGCTTAAGTCACTGGATTTCAGACCGAACCACTGATATTTTCTCTCTCTGTGTTTTGATATGAAGAGTTTACAATTCGGCCTAAAACAAAATATTACTGCATGTCTCGATTAAGTGTGGTAGCGATATGCGTCAACTAATTCAAAAGCAAATAGCGTTCTGCATGTATTTATAAAACTCCGGTATAAGTGCTTAACAAATAGTAAATTGACGATTTAGACTTTAATTGACAACAAGCAAAACAATACACCGATTTATTTGTTTTAATCATTACAAAAAAAAATCCTGCATGAGCTTTTCAAAAAAAGGCAAAAACTACTTGGTATTAAGTAACATGTTTACTCATCTGAGCTCCTATAAAAATTGTAATTATATACTTCTTAAAGCATAAGTTCGTAGAACTGAAATCTTAAAGATGCACACTAATTGTCACATTAATATAATCAAATAATTAACCAATATTTACATATGAAATATTTCAGAAATCATACAACAATGGAAGGGTCCTTGGTTGATGTCTTCATCTATAACATTTAAGTAAGAAACATACAGTGACTGAGTCATAAACAGTAAATGTTTGTCGGTCATCTCATAAGCTGAACCACTCTCGCTATTCTCATTCTCCGGACATACATCATTCCATTGGACACGTGTACATCCTCTTGCTCAGTCACCGACACGCCAATATGTTGTGCGCTGGGAACTGTACGTAGTACCTGTCCGCTAGACTGAGTGGTGGCCACAGTAGTTTGGGGACTGTCATCGTCATCGCCATCCCTTATTCCTTTGTAACAACCATAGCACAGGAAAGCCATCTAACACAATATTTACAATAATGATTCAAATTCTATATAATAGAAAAGAAAAAAGAAAAAAATGAGCTAAAAATATAATGAAAATGAATACCATTTGTCTGAGTAAATCTGTTAGGCGATTTTGTAATTTCTTAAATTAGCTCACCAGCCCTACTCCAAAATACAAAAAGAAAAAAAAATGAAATTAAAACCCTACCGACCTACCCTATTTTTTCAGTTATATTACCTGAAACAAATAATTTGGGCCTGATTTCCATAAAAAAATCCATTCCTACATTTTGTTAAGATACGCCCCTTTAACTTAGATACAAAGCACCTTGTGTACTGGAATGAGTCATTGTTTTTTGTATGGACGTTTATGTTGTTGTTACTTTCTTTTTCCTTGAGTTCAACTAAAGTAACAATTGCCGTTGCACAGCGTCATACACCTTACCTAATATTGAAGAATTATTACCACTTAAACTTTGAATTTGTACATTCGATTGCGTTTTACTGTTAAAGTTTCTTAAAACTGCCTATTCCGAATAATTTTTGTCATGTTCGAAGACGTTTTAAAGTGCAATGTTAACAAGAAGATTTGTACAACAAATAAAATCGTTTGTTTACCTGACAGATCAATTTAATTAAATGTCGTTTGTCGAGAAAGAATCAAGTGATCTTTTTTTTCCTCCACCATCTCGACAGCATAAACCGTCTTTCTATCTTTTTATTCGTGTATGACTTTATGATAATCTTAAAACATGTGAGAGAGAAGCGGGGAATATAAGGGCGTACACGATTAAAACAGCACATGTACAACATTTTATATCCGACCACGCATACTTACCTGCACGATGACATAAATACCGCTTATAAGACACATGTAGTACGAGCTCCCATAAGAATAGTCTGATATGTCAATATTGGACAACTTGTCGCATCCGACAACAGACAGAATACCTGCAATTAAACATATCAAATTTCTTTTATATCTGTACATGGTTATAAAATGTACGATATGAAATTACCATTTCAAAGAGAAATTCAACTGACAAACTGTATTTTAAAAGCATCATAAAGACATTCTACATGCGACTTAAGACAAAGAAAGGCTTTTTTTGTCGGCTGTATTGCATAAATAAAGTGTCTGAATTCATGTTACCAGCTACTGGATACAGAACCATGCAGCAGGTGGCGAAACAGCCACAGTATTCCGCACATTGTTCATCGCTATCACCACAGCAAATGACGTACGTCATGGTCATGAACACCAGCCAGTGCATGACGAAGGATAAGGCTTCCAGTGCCAATGCAGAATCACTCACATCTGAAAAGGGGAATAATTACTTATACAATTACAAACCGCTGGACAGCATTACATCGTTAGCATTTGCAAAGGAAGCTTTTTAATATGAGAGCAACATGGCATTGTGCAGTTGTTGTTTGGTTTTTTTTTTCATTTTTTATTAATTTACATATATTAAAAGTCACATTACAAGTAGTTTGGATCCAAATTTGGAAAGCAAGAATACAATTTTGGACTTTATTACATTCCAATAGTACATGCTGAATAGTTTCTTCTTCTAGTTACAAAAATTACACATATCAGACTGAACCAAATTAATCTTTTTCAAAAAATGTTTGTAACTAAAATGTGATGATTAATTCTAAATTGCAGTCATTGTAGTTTTGAATTTTTATTAGTGTCAAAAGGTAGTTTGTATATTTTCTTCCTACCCTCACTTGGTATATTTCCAAATACATTATTCCACTTTATTTGACCTGTAGGCACTACACTATTTTTGCTCAGCACATTGTACATATCCTTTGTACCTTTTTTATGTTTGATAATTATTTTAATATACAGGGGTATCAATGGTAGTGTAAGCTTTTTTCAAAAGTCCAGCCTAATATTTAAATTAACATTACTGTTGTTGTTGACTACTGCTTGTGAGTATAAGTATTTGGATTGATGATGTAATATAAAGAACAATACTTAATACCTTACATGATTTTTGCTTAGTTATGTTTAGTTTGTTACAGAAAAATTAATTAAAAACTGAATGATTTCTATTATTGTTGTTTTTATTATTCATTAAGACATAAGACATTAAATCGAAATAATTTATTGGATATGTACATGTATCGGAAATGTAATTGTTATAATCAGTATTAGATGTGTCTTTGCATGGGCGGAATATCAATGGTATATCACCTATTTATTTGTTTATGTGATTATTATTGTTATAACATTTTGTTTGTAAAGAGGTATAATTATTTATAAATTAGAATAGCATGATGTTACTGGAATTGTACATGTATTACATGGTAAATCAGGGGTTATATTTATATGCAATTGGACAAAATCTTATCATTCCTAATATAAAAGGAGGATTTCGAAGAATTTGCTATGTTTCCCCTATTGGGTCCCACCCCTCTGTCTCCAGGGGGTCAGACCCATCGTTGATACAAAATTAGGTCCCCATCACCAAAGGATGCTTTAGACCAAATATGGACATAATCCTCCTACAGAAGAAGTTTTTTAAAGAATTCGCTAAATTACCCCTATTGGGCTCCACCCCTCAGGCCCCAGGTGGTCAGACATACCATCTATACAAAATCGATTTACCTTCCCAAAAGGAAGCTACTGTTCAAATTTGGTCAAAATACCTTCATCGCAATGGAAGAAAAAGGATATTAAAGCTGTACTTCTATATCCTTATTGGGCCCGCCTATCTGCCCCCAGGGGTTGAAGCCCACCGTTTATACAATATTGGTTCCCCTTCACCGAAGGATGCTTCATACCAAATTTGGACAAAATCCTGTCATTCCTACAGCAGAAGAAGGGTTTGGATGAATTTGTTATGTTTCCCCTACTGGGCCCTGTCCCTCTACCCCCAGGGGGCTACACCTACTGTTTATAAAAAATTAAATCCCCTTGGCCCTAGGATTCTCCAGACCAAATAAGGATAAAATCCCTTAATCCCTATGGTAGGAGAAGGGTTTTGAAGGTTTTACCTCTATTTCCCCTATTGGGCCCGCCCCTCTGTCTTAAGGGGGCCACACGCACCATTTATACATAATTGATTCCACTTGGCCCAAGGATGCTCCAGACTAAATTAGAATAAAATCCCTTAATCCCTACGGTAGAAGAAGGATTTTAAAGGTTTTACTTCTATTTCCCCTATTGGGCCCCGTTTTTATACACAATTGAGTCCCCTTGGACTAAGGATGCTCCAGACCAAATTTATTCAAAATCTACTATGCCATTCAGGACTAGTAGCGTTTAAAGGAAAAGTTGACGGACAGACAACGGACGACGGACGCTGTGGTATGGCATAAGCTCACCATGGTCCTTCGGTCACATTACTTATCAGTCGAAAAATAGATGCATTTTAAAGTTAAAATACGCAAAATGAAAATTCTTACTAAATCCGACTGTTTCAAAAACAATTGATCTAACATGTAATTAAAATTACATTAATATTTGTTTTCTTGTTGGCCCAGATGGAAGCGCGCAGATTGTCTTAATGCGGGGGAAATGTGGAGCATCCGGAGCATACCAAAGTGACCAAGATGACCCAAATACAGTTTCATATCCGACAGGGGAATCGAATCGTGACGGTGTTGGTGAAAGTGAGTTAGCTACCCAATGCGCCATCCGACCACCCTAACTGTACATTGTTCAATTTCAATAAATGTTATTGTCAAAGGACAAATGGATTGGGCAACAGGCATAGCCTACTTAAGCCCTTTCCAAACATAGTAACAGACAGTGGTACAAGCATAGACATAGATATACTACATAGACAAACAAGTTGGTATTATCAAATTAATAATCAAATTAGGGGAAACAACTACTATTACTCATTTTTATTATAATTGAATCTAATGGTTTGAATTCTAACCTTTTATTTTGATACCGAAAAGACATATAAAGTATATATATATACATATTATGAAGAGAAAAGAAAAATAATTTCATTGTAAAATTTCATTCAAAATTTAAGTTATTTGCTACATTGTTAAGACCCTTGACTGGTACATAGCTATGAGTATTTTCTAAATTTTGACCTGGGCCCGTATTCATGAATCCGTTCTCATGCTCAAGCATGGATTCTGTGCTAAAATCAGTTTTTGTGTAACTCACTTAAATAATGTCATGTTGTTTTCCAAATCATTGACAAACTCAGATTTTTTAATAACTTATAAGGGGAAAAAGAATTAGACTTAAGCACAAAATCCATGCTTAAGCATGAGAAATGTTTCATGAAGACGGGCTCATTTAGAACATTTAAATGTGTTTATTCTGTTGTTTTGTGTTTTATGTTGTAATATAACTGTACACGATGGACAATATAACAAAAACAAAACAAAAATACAGAAATTTTGTTGATAGTAATTTTGCCGTTATGACTCCATATCAGCAGCCCCCCACAGCCATGCAGTTTTATACAGCATCTTCTTCTCAAATATGCTGAAGGGGATTTTTGCATTTAGGATAGACATTCTCCGTACAAAAAGTACATTTGACAATCAAAATTACCGATATTTTACTGTTCAAACAAAACATAAAATGACCAACATAAACAGTTTAAATAACCTTGTTTGTGATAAGATTAAGCTGGATGGTAGCAGTTCAAATCCACGAATTATGTCATGTTCTACCTATGAGATATTGTCCCTATCGCCAGTAACTATTTAATCTTTTTACAAGACAAACAAAACCAGTCGATATTACGTCACGTGTGGTTACCTACTTTTCCACACACCAGTAAAAAGTCTTCCTATTATGTCAGCAAGGGATTAACGGCGTAAAGCTCTAAATAAATCATATATTATGTATAGATTAAATAATAATCGCCGTTGTAAAAAATAAGGCGGTAACAAAGTGCCGTGTAAAAAGGCGATAAAACGACAAATCGAAAAAGACACAATTTGCTTCTGAGAATCAAATTCATCACAAATGAAAATAATTATGGATTTCTTTTCTCATATAATATCTTCCATTAAACTGGAGAAACCAGAACGACAGACCATCCAAAAGGAAGCATATACATGTTTATGAAATACCCAACGCTGTTTTTTTTCACAGAAAATGATTAACGGCAAATTCTAACACTTGTGAAGGACTCAAATGCATACTTGTTTCTGATAGTTGAGTCAAGCTCTATTTTCTTGAAAATGTCATTCAAAGAAAATCATGACTTATGACTTAATACTTTTGTAATATTATCGAAATCTCACTCACAGTGTCCTGGACCATAACAGCCTTCGGTTACGTTCGAACCTAAGTAGTAGAAAAGTCCCTGGGCGTCGCAGTCCTTCCATGAGATCCAGTGTGGTGAAAAAAATCCCACAGTTTGTAGAACCATGCTAATAAAGAACGTAAACAGGAAAAAGCAGCACAAGCTGAAGGACCCCATGACTTTGATCAGCAGTTAGCTGTCTTCTGTCGCGTCGCATTGATGTCTGTTCCGTATAGAAACACCGGTTTGATAACAATATAATATTCCATGAATATCTAAAAATAGACAGAACAATCTATATTTGTATCAATATGTTATCACGGGTAAACGTAACCTTCGTAATGCATTAAGTACCACCTTGTGAAAACACATTTATACTAATAAAAAAAAATCAAATGTAAAGATATCATATAAACATTCAATATATTTTATTGTTGTGACTACACCATTTTCCGTCAAACTGTAAATGGTTTAAATTAGCTTACTTCCTCAACGTTTGACAATATAATCTATATTGCGGTTGTAAGCTACAAAATTCCTGTAAAGTATTAATCTGAAGTGGTCATCACACTATTATATCATTATATCAAGTGATATATTTTTTATACATGTTTGGAAACTGCTTTCTGTTGCTTATATGTAGATTTTATCACCGCATAATGATTGAGATCTTGTTCAATTATTTGACAGCTGGCCAGAATATCTCACCCTTTGCCAGTGTTTCCATGTGTAACAGTTGTTAGGTTGTCTACACAGGCTATCTTTTGTGTTAACATACTGTTAATCACGAATATTCAATAAATTTCATTTCTCATCTTTTTTTGTGTTTTTGTTATTTGACAACACACATATATATACAGATTAATTCTGATGTATTTTCGTTGTCGCTTCCCCAGTTCTCACTTTGAGAACGTGCATATTAAAAGGATTTGACCAAGATTTGTGGACTTGCACTGTCGTCGATGAACAACTTGCTCACTCTTCAGGAACGCATGGTTTTATCTTTCTTGGTACTTTTCAAATGTTTCCGTGGAAATTGGTTTTTTTTCTTGATGTTTAGCCCTCATTTCATCGAACGATGGCTTTGTTTATACTTCAGTATTCTCTTATTTTTTTAATTGAATCATAAAACATTCATCTTGACCTCTACCTGGGCCATAGCTAACGGAAACATCTGTTTTAAATACATTCTTCTTAGCTGGCACAAAACAATGGAGTTGTATCAAAATAAACAATCACATGATTATACATCAACGTAAACAGGGTTTTCGGTACATCTAAAAATAGCACATCTGTAATCACAGACGTCATTCTTATTCTAAACTTAATAATGATTATAGAACACAGGTATTCCAACAAGTTCAAATATCAATACAGTGTCTGTTGATCTATATTATATCAATACAGTGTCTATTGATCTATATTATGTCAATACAGTGTCTGTTGATCTATAGTATATCAATACAGTGTCTGTTGATCTATATTATATCAATGCAGTGTCTGTTGATATATATTATATCAATACAGTGTCTGGTGATATATATTATATCAATACAGTGTATGTTGATATATATTATATCAATACAGTGTCTGTTGATCTATATTATATCAATGCAGTGTCCGTTGACCTATATTATATCAATACGGTGTATGTTGATATATATTATATCAAAACAGTGTCTGTTGATCTATAGTATATCAATACAGTGTCTGTTGATCTATGTTATATCAATGCAGTGTCTGTTGATATATATTATATCAATACAGTGTATGTTGATCTATATTTTATCAATACAGTGTCTGTTGATATATATTATATCAATACAGTATGTTGATCTATATTATATCAATTAATGCAGTGTCTGTTGATCTATATTATATCAAGACAGTGTATGTTGATATATATTATATCAATGCAGTGTATGTTGATCTATATTATATCAATTAATGCAGTGTCTGTTGATCTATATTATATCAATACAGGGTCTGTTGATCTATATATTAAATCAATGCAGTGTCTGTTGATATATGTTATATCAATGCAGTGTCTGTTGATATATATTATATCAATACAGTGTGTGGTCTGTTGATCTATATTATATCAATACAGTGTATGTTGATCTATATTTTATCAATACAGTGTCTGTTGATCTATATTATATCAATGCAGTGTCCGTTGATCTATATTATATCAATACGGTGTATGTTGATATATATTATATCAATACAGTGTCTGTTGATCTATAGTATATCAATACAGTGTCTGTTGATCTATATTATATCAATACAGTGTCTGTTGATATATATTATATCAAGGCAGTGTCTGTTGATCTATATTATATCAATACAGGGTCTGTTGATCTAAAGTATATCAATGCAGTGTCTGTTGATCTATATTATATCATTACAGTGTCTGTTGATCTATATTATATCAATACAGTGGCTGTTGATCTATATTATATCAATACAGTGTCTGTTGATCTATATTATACCAATACAGTGTCTGTTGATCTATATTATATCAATACAGGGTCTGTTGATCTAAAGTATATCAATGCAGTGTCTGTTGATCTATATTATATCAATACAGTGTCTGTTGAACTATATTATATCAATACAGTGTCTGTTGATCTATATTATATCAATACAGGGTCTGTTGATCTATATATTAAATCAATGCAGTGTCTGTTGATATATGTTATATCAATGCAGTGTCTGGTGATATATATTATATCAATACAGTGTCTGTTGATCGATATTATATCATTACAGTGTCTGGTGATCTATATTATATCAATGCAGTGTCTGTTGATCTATATTATATCAATACAGTGTCTGTTGATCTATATTATATCAATACAGTGTATGTTGATCTATAGTATATCAATACAGTTTCTGTTGATCTATATTTTATCAATACAGTGTCTGTTGATATATATTATATCAATACAGTGTATGTTGATCTATATTATATCAATACAGTGTCTGTTGATCTATATTATATCAATACAGTGTATGTTGATATATATTATATCAATACAGTGTCTGTTGATCTATATATGAAATCAATGCAGTGTCTGTTGATATATGTTATATCAATGCAGTGTCTGGTGATATATATTATATCAATACAGTGTCTGTTGATCTATATTATATCATTACAGTGTCTGTTGATCTATATTATAGCAATACAGTGTCTGTTGATCTATATATGAAATCAATGCAGTGTCTGTTGATCTAGATTATATCAATACAGTGTATGTTGATCTATATTATATCAATACAGTGTCTGTTGATCTATATATGAAATCAATGCAGTGTCTGTTGATATATGTTATATCAATGCAGTGTCTGTTGATCTATATTATATCAATAGTATATCAATACAGTGTCTGCTGATCTATATATGAAATCAATGCAGTGTCTGTTGATCTAAAGTATATCAATACAGTGTATTTTGATCTATATTATATCAATACGGTGTCTGTTGATCTATATTATATCAATACAGTGTATGTTGATCTATTTTATATCAATACAGTGTCTGTTGATCTATATCATATCAATGCAGTGTCTGTTGATCTATATTATATCAATACAGTGTTTGTTGATCTATATCATATCAATGCGGTGTCTGTTGATCTAAAGTATATCACTACAGTGTATGTTGATATATATTATATCAATACAGTGTATGTTGAACTATATTATATCAATACAGTGACTGTTGATCTATATTATATCATTACAGTGTCTGATGATCTTTATTATATCAATACAGTGTATATTGATATTTATTATATCAATGCAGTGTCTGCTGATATATGTTATATCAATACAGTGTATGTTGATCTATTTTATATCAATACAGTGTTTGTTGATCTATATTATATCAATGCATTGTCTGCTGATATATGTTATATCAATGCAGTGTCTGTTGATATATATTGTATCAATGCAGTGTCTGTTGATATATATTATCTCAATGCAGTGTCTGTTGATCGATATTATATCATTACATATTATATCAATGCAGTGTCTGTTGATATATATTATCTCAATGCAGTGTCTGTTGATCTAAAGTATATCAATACAGTGTATGTTGATCTATATTATATCAATGCAATGTCTGTTGATCTATATTATACCCATGCAGTGTCTGCTGATATATGTTATATCAATGCAGTGTCTGTCGATCTATATCATATCAATATTGTCTGTTGATCTATATCATATCATTGCAGTGTCTGTTGATCTATAGTATATCAATACAGTGAATGTTGATCTATATCTTATCAACAGACACTGTATTGATAAAATATTGAACAACATACACTGTATTGATATAACATAGAATAGATCAACAGACACTGTATTATATCAATACCAATGCAATGTCTGTTGATCTATGTTATATCAATACAGTGTATGTTGATCTATATTTTATCAATACAGTGTCTGTTGATCTATATTATATCAATGCAATGTCTGTTGATCTATATTATATCAAAACAGTGTATGTTGATCTATATTATATCAATGCAGTGTCTGTTGATATATATTATATCAATGCAGTGTCTGTTGATCTATATTATATCAATGCAGTGTCTGTTGATCTATATTATATCAATGCAGTGTCTGTCGATCTATATCATATCAATATTGTCTGTTGATCTATATCATATCAATACAGTGTCTGTTGATCTATATTTTATCAATACAGTGTATGTTGATATATATTATATCAATACAGTGTATGTTGATCTATTTTATATCAATACAGTGTATGTAGATATATATTATATCAATACAGTGTCTGTTGATCTATATTATATCAATACAGTGTCTGTTGATCTATATTATACCAATACAGTGTCTGTTGATCTATATTATATCAATACAGTGTCTGTTGATCTATATTATATCAATACAGTGTCTGTTGATCTATATTATATCAATACAGTGTCTGTTGATCTATATTATATCAATACAGTGTCTGTTGATCTATATTATATCAATACAGTGTCTGTTGATATATATTATATCAATACAGTGTCTGTTGATCTATAGTATATCAATACAGTGTCTGTTGATCTATATTATATCAATGCAGTGTCTGTTGATCGATATTATATCAATAAAGTGTCTGTTGATCTATATTATATCAATACAGTGTCTGTTGATCAAAATTATATCAATACAGTGTCTGTTGATATATATTATA